GCGGAGATACCTGCGCTCTTTGACCAGCTGCCCGTGGGCAAGATCAAGGGATTGGGCGGAAAATTCGGTGAGACTGTCTGTGAGACGCTGGGCGTTAAGTTTCTGGGCCAGGTGCTCAAATACAGCGAAAAGGAGCTGCAACGCAAGCTGGACGAAAAGAATGGGTGAGATATGGGATTCTCAACTGGCCCGATTTAAATGTTACCAACCTGTAATGCTTTACAGCTCCTGGCTACATAATATTGCACGTGGCATCGACTTGGAGGCGGTCACGCCCCGATTTTACTCCAAGAGCATTGGCTGCTGCAAGAAATTTCCCGGCCGCAACAACATAACAGGTCTCAAGACCCTCCAGCACTGGCTAGGCGAGCTGGCCAGCGAGATAAACGATCGCCTGGAAAAGGATTTTATAGAAAACAATCGCAAGGCAAAGCAAATGGTTGTGCAGTATGTGCAGGACATCGACGGCCAGGAGGTGGCCAGCTCCCGTTCCACGCCGCTCAATCAGTGTGACCAGGAGACGCTGGCTAAGCAAGCCCTGGAGCTGATCAGAACCAATACGAAAACCTTTCTGCGTGCGGGCAGCGAGTCGGCGCTCAATAATGCCATCAAATTTCTGGGCATCAGCGTGGGCAAATTCGAAACGGCATCCAGTGCGCAAAACAGCCTGCAAACCATGTTCGCCAATCAGGCGGCCAAAAAGCGTCGCATCAGCGTGGAGGATGGTGTAGAGAAATCGAGCCTGGCACAGAAGCCACAGAAGCAAACTGAAGAGGCTAAAATGAAGAGCTTCTTTTCCAATTACTTGCAAGCGCGCAAGGATGAACAAAATGTCAAGGATAATTTGGAAACGAATGCAAATCCATCAGAAATGAAGGCAAAACCAGTGACTGAGCCAGAAGAAGAAGAGCCTCCTGCAGAAACTAGGCTCCCAAATGCCTCCCCGAAGAAAAGTTTCTTTGAAGCCTACAAGCGCAAGTTGATTGATGCCACCGTTGCAGAAGAGTCCAGCGGCGACAAGGCAGCGCCTACTGCCACACCACCTGAGTTTAAGGAAAGCTTCTTTGCCAATTATCTGCAACAGCAAAAGGAAGTTAGCAAAAATGTGGAGCAACCAAATGAGTCCGCAGCTGATAACAGCAATTCATCTGACATGCAGGGCTTGGCCGCAGAACTAGATGAGATAGAACTGAGCAGCACAAATCTACAGCAACAAGCTGCTGAACAGCCCTCCACATCGAAGCGTAAATTAGAGCATGAAAATTCAATGGAACCCGCGACGAGCAAAGACTTTACAAGCACTTATGCGGAGTACGCACAGCCCGAGCTGCGTACAGATCTTATTAGCCTGGTCAAGTGCGATGAGTGTGGCGTGCAAATTCCTGACGATGTTAAGGCATTGCAAACCCATCGGGATCATCACTATGCGCAGCAACTAAGCCGTCAACTGCGCGTTGAACAGCGCGAGGAAATGCAACGTAGTCGCCTAAATGATACAACTACGTCGGTTGTCTCACCCACGACAAAGCCAGTGCCAGCGAAGAAAGGTAAAAAGGTGGGCGGAACCGCCGTAACAACGGCCCCGAAGCCCATCAATAGCATTACCAAATTTTTGGCGCCCAAGCAGTCGCTGGAACCGCCGCCCAGCTGCAGCAACTCACCCATGGAGATCTGCGCCGAGTGCAAAACGTACATTAAAACTGTGGATATGCCGGAGCACTTGGATTTCCATCTGGCCAAAAAGCTACAGCGTGAACTCAACCAACTGAAGGTGCGCACAATAAATACCTCAACCAACAAGAAGACAACGTCACCTGCTGCCAAGAAGCAGCTAAACAGTACCCTAAATTCTACAGCCGCGAATAATTCCATTACCAAGTTTTTTACCCAAAGCAGTTGATGCTAACCTAATATTTTGGTACTTCAAAATAGAATCATAAGTTTTTTTTTTCTGAGCCTTAAGAAATAATCAGTTAAGCTTGCGAATATTCAATTTAGTATTAACGAAAGTATTATAATAATAACTTCAAGTTAAGAAAGCTATGTTTTAAACTAAAAACTGTATCTGTAACTGCAAACGTATACATAAGAGTATTATTATATTGCTCTTTAAAACAGCCATATTTACCGGTCCTTGTGCCATTATGATGCAGTTATCCTTGCTACCTGGGCTAACAACAGTTATATTCTTGATTATTTTATACAATGTCTAAACATTTTCATAAATGAAAAGTTGTTGCCGATTTATAAAGCTTTCACGAATCCTTAAAGGTATGTCTTTCCAAAGTCGGACGTAATTAAAACAATGTACTTGAGTTAGCAAAAGCTTATATTTTGTATTTTTCAGCCAAATCTGAGAACAAGAACTGTAAATCATCTTTTTTTGTGGGTCCATTGAACAATACACATCACCTTTTAGTTATACAAATAAAAAACAATTAGGAGCTGCTGCAATTGTGCGTCTGATGATTGAAGGCAATACTATACTATACAGCCGCTCCTAAAATATACCCTTTCCGACTCCTCCGGATCAGCAGTTCCTAAAAAAAATATGAGTGTTAAATTGCGAGTGACTCAAGCGGATAAAAAAACCGGCGCACAGAAAATTAGCAAGCGAATAAAATTCGAGTGAACACGATGCGACACATTCGCAAGCATACACACCCACACAAACAGGTGCAGAGATGCGCCAAAGCCAGAGATAAGCAGGCAGTCGCCTGTTTGTGTGGGTGTTCGCTGTCATTTACGTTCTCACGCTCATGCGCTCACGACTTTTTCGGTGCTGATCGCTGATTGGTCCAACCAATACTAGCTTGCATTGAAGTTCTCCTCTGGGCATTTGCGTGCTCTATTTTCTGAGCGCCGATCTGGACGGACGATGGACTTGAGCAATTTTATTCTGAGTTAGTGTGGCCCCATTAGTCAATTGGGCATGTTGCTATGCTGCGGGCAGCTATTATTAATTTTGTTATTTGTGTAAGTGCAAGTGCCGTACTATTTTTGAATGATAAACCTTTTTAGAAGCGCACAAACTACAATATATTGTGTACAATCGTCAGTGTGCATTAATGTGCAATTGACTACTGCGGTTAAACGGACACATAACTAATTTGCGCGAGCGCTAAGGGGACAACAAATTCGGCGCACAGAAATCTTGCCTGGACCTGTAAGCAGCCAATTTGTGTGGATGTAATGCATAAGTAAATAATGCCTTAGCACGCATATACACGTTAAATAATAATTAACTTTTCATGTTATCTTTTTCAGCCAAGATGACCTTGGTTATTTCATACCAAGTATAGATACACTCAACAAAATCTCATTCTAAATTGCGATGATCACGGGTTACATTGTTTCAAACGCTCACAAATCCTGAGTGGTATGCCTTTGCAATATTAGTCTGATATATTTAAGTTCACAAAAATATTTATTTTCAGCCAATTCCGTCACGCCCATGGACAGTAATGTATTGAGTATCGTTGGTAACTTGATGCCATATATATCCTTGGTTAATCTATTCAATGAAGAGACATTTTAAAAAAAATGTTAAATCTTAAACAGTTCCAAAATCAAAATTGTTACGAATCCCAAACGGTACGTTCGACCAATATATTTTAGTTTTCAAAAACTAATATATTTTTTATTTTTTTTTCAGCTAAATCTGTCACGTCCATGAACAAAAACTAATCAACGGATAATTATGTCGTTTGTAGATCAACGGAGTTATGCCATATCTCCGCGCAGAACACTTTCCAAATCATGGAGAAACATTCAAGAATTTGCATTTTAAAGTTTGTCTACAATTAGAAAATATTCACTATTATTGGCAGCTAGTTGACCTTTATATGCTTGGTGATTCCATACCACAGATATAGTCCTAGCGAGCCTAAATGACCAAGTTCTTGGAAAATACGCAAATATTATCCAAAATATGTGCTTTTCTTTTACAGCCGTCCCCAGCCATGCCCCCTGGTTGGTTCCTAGTTGACTACCATATCCTTGGTTATACCATATCATCGATATAGTCCTTGGGAACCTAAAGGATCAGAACCTTGCAAAATGCGCATTGAAATGGTCCAAAAACATGTATGCCTTTTATTTCAGGAGCCCTTTTACATTAGCTGCAGCCGCAGCTGTTGTTTAACAGCCGCCTAACAGCACTCTTTTTACATGAGTTGCTATTTAACATTACTCATTTTATTTGAGTTACATTTTTGCCCCTTAAGGCTATGCAATGAAATTTTTTATTCGAAGCACTCGTCGACCTTCTGGGCATTTCTGTTCGCCTGGTACTTGAGTGAAATTTTAGTGCAAATTTGGGACCAGCGACGAGGGTGCCCTTTTTACTACGTCATTTTTCGGCGGCAAAATTATTTTTAGTCGACCTTCTGGGCATTTATGTTCGCCTGGTGTTTTTGGGAAATTTTAGCTAAAATTTGGGGACCCAGCCGGCGACGAGGGCGCCCTTTTGGGTATGCAACGAAATTTTTCGGCAGCTAAAAATATTTGTTGTCGACCTTCTCGTCATTTCTGTTCGCCTGGTATTTTGGCAGATTTTAAGTAAAATCTCGGCAGCCAGCGGCTGCCAACGGGCGCCCCTGGCGGGTATGCAATGGATTTCTTAAAACCGTTAATTTTTTAATAAAAAACAGGAATTTGTCCTTTTTATTTTAAATAATTGATTTATTTATGCTTAAATTTATAAAATTGTTTTTATGCAAATTTCCTTAATTATTTCTCTTAAAATTATACAAATCGAGCATAAATTATAATTATTGCTTATTTAAACTTAAAATAACTATATCCGGCTATGACGTTCCAAAACGACATAACTCCAGCGCCAGCGGTTGCCGATGGAGATATGACGTTCCAAAACGACATAGCTCCAGCGCCAGCGGTATGCAATGGATTTCTTAAGTCCGTTGATTTTTGTTAAATAAAAAAACGAGTTTTATTCTGTTTTTTAAATAATTGATTTATTTATGCTTAAATTTGTAAAATTTGTCATTGTTTATGCTTAATTATTTCTGTTGAAAGAGTACAAAGCGAGCATAAATTAGAATTGTAGCTAATTTCAACTTAAATAAGCTATATCTGGCTTAATTTAAGTCCGATCCTGGAAAAATTTGCTTTGTCACTTGTGGAGGTCCTTGGAATTCATTGTAGTCCTTAATTTGTCAATCTGAAATGATAAAAACGCATTTTAATTAAGCAAGACGAAAAAACGTATGCAATAATTTTCAGTAATAGAAAAGGACATAGCTCGGTCATATCCTTGCAGATTTTCAAAGGACATGGTGCGTTAGGATCGTATAGACCCACTACATCGATCTGCATCAAAAAAATATGGGGTCATCTAAGAATCATGGGACTTGTATTTTCACTTGTAAAATTTCAGTCGCGGAGCGCGCGGAATTGGGCTGAAAACACATATCCTTAAATATATCCCAAACTACAAGGACGATCCTGATGAAATTTGGCCAGGTGGTAGTCCTAGTTAATACAATTATTTTGACACATGACTCGCCAGGATACGCAAGGATGCGGCTGAGTTATGGCCTAATTTTTGTTTACTAATTTGTCCTTAAAACTTTGTTGTCTGAAGGACTCTCGTCCTTTGGGTTGTTAATTCTTAAATGGGAGAGTGAGAACAATTGGCTGACCAAAGGACATCCCGATAGTCCTTCAAATGGCAAAGTTAGCCCGGATATTTTCGATTTTGGCCAATTTTGTGACTAAACCCCTAGGATAAATTTTGGTGAAATTTTTTGTCGAATCCTTAAAATCCTTGAATGCCAATCGATAGTCTCGCCTCCCACGAATTCAAAAAGGCATATCCTTCCGATATCCTTAAGGATTTGGCCGAGCTATGGCCATTTAAAAAATGTCCTTTTTAGAAAATTGGCCATAAATCGGAAACTACAAGGACGTTTTTGATGTCCTTTGGCCAGTTTATGGTCCTTGTTCATACGGGTTGTTTGACATAGGACTTGACAGGATCCGCAAGGATATGGTCGAGTTATAGCTTTGTTAGTTTATGAAAGTCTTACACTTATATCAAAGCTGTCTGAAGGACCTGCGTCCTTTTCATTGTATATTCTGAATTGGGAGCATGAGAGTACAGACAAATATCCTTTTTCCACTGCTCTTTGCGGAACTTTCGTCCTTTTTATTACATATTCTAAGTTGGCAGGACAAGGTCTGCATGTTGGCCAAAGGACATCAGGATTGTGCTTGAAATGGACAGTATGGTTATTAATATCCTTTTTGATATATGTAGACATATTTCAAAACCGCAAGGACGATTTTGATATCCTTTGCGCAGTTGGTACCCCTAGTCCTTATGAATTATTTAATACAGAACTCGGCAAGATACAAAAAATGCAACCGAGCTTTGGCCTTTTTATCTCCTTTATCTCGAAGTTGCCAAATTGTGGCCAATTTTGTGTTGAATGACTTCTTATGAAAAAAAAACTAGTCTGTTCGAAAACCACAAGGACAATTAAGTTGCCTTCTGGCCAGTTAGCATCCGTGGTCCAAGCGAATCGTTTAACACAGGACTCGACTGGATCCACAAGAAGATGATCAAGATGTCCTTTGACCAAAAATACAGTTTATGGAAATGCAAGAATGCGGCCGACATTCTACAATGTCTTTTGACAAAACAATGATACTCATAGAAGACATACTTAGTGTGAATTCCAGCAGAGAGCGTGGCAGCAGCAGAGTCGTCCGCACATGAAACCCACGTAGACCCAGTCCGTAGTCCAGAGTTTGCTTCAGGCAGCACAATATCATTGGATCTTTGGAAGACGTGCAGATTAAGCTGCTCCAAAAGCATCAGGCACATTCGAACTGTTCCCAAAATCGCCTGAAATTATTTGATAAGGTTAGAGGAACAGAAACCACTTAAGCCACTCTTCATACCTCTTATCACAGCGAGCTACCTGAGGTTGCATAACGGCTCATTGCACCAATTATTCAGTCTACGGCAAAGGGATATGCGCTCCTGCCCTCCAGACATCCATTCCATATCCACATAGCTGATAAAACTGAAAAGAAATTCAAATTGGAAAATGATCACGACAGTCAATTAATATATATAAAAAAAATTAATAAATATGTGAATATAAATATAGGGTTAGAATTTGTTAACAAACTTTTTAAACCCGTATATGTACATATATCCATTTTCGGTGCACAGAAGACATGTCTTGTTTTGAGATATTTACAGCCTGCTCTCGCAGTCATATACACATACACACGTACATATTTGGCGATTCCCTCTATATACTTTTGCTTGTGTATGTGTGTGTTGCGTTATCTACCATTGAATAGAGTTTACCGTTTGCTTTCTCAATTTGCTGTGCGCTGATTTTCGTTCACTTTGCTTCTGCGCAACATAATTCCGTTTTAGTTAAATGCCAGCAATGGAGTAAAGCTTGTCTAGAAACTACAATTTGCGAATATTCCCCGGTAAATACTTTCCGTATCTCAAATAGTATTAATATTTGGACTCGTAGCCACATGGAATACACATACAATTTCTAAAGAAAGATTTCTTAATTGCATAGCTAGGCAAATGGTAAATGAGCTTTAGCAAGGTTGACAACAATAAAGGGGAACAAAAACAACTGCTGAAACACTCGACTGACTGTTGGAGGATTCACTAGTATTTTGGTATACTTTAGCGGCAAAACTCACAAACCTAAACAGACAAAGCAACGGATTAAATAAACTCGCGCGATGCTGTAATATTCCGAACCGACACGTTGTGCTTTGTGCTCTTGACTGCAGTGAGCGGCAGTGGCAGCAGCTTAACTGAGCCGATCGCAAAGTACAGCGAGGTGCAGACTTAGCTTTGCTGCGTTCACGCTCTCCCTCTGCAACATACGCTCTGCGCGTGACGTCATAGCAGTCAGCTTATGAGGGCATGCTCTGCACATCACCTTCTCAGCACAGTCCATGCAATAATCGTCAGCGAGAGTACGGCGTGTACAAAAGGAGAGCGAGAGAGTGCGTGAGTAAGAGTGAGCTAACACATTGGCTAGCCGTGTGGTGCGTCGTAGAGTTTTGTTTTTATTTGATGATCCCGCAAGCACACACTCTCACATACACAAGCAGACATACATATGTCAAAGCTTTGGCTGCACGTGCAGCGCCAACTCTCCAAAGCGCAAAACCATAAACAACACTACAAAAATAAACAGTAAGGAAAAATTGATAAGGAGAGAAAATAATACCAAATTGCATGGCTTATTAAATTTCTATTAAATAACCTATTAACCAATTTCTATAAAACAAGCGCTAAAACATGTTTTAAAATTGATTTCAGCTCGCTTGCCTTGTGGACAAGAACTCTTGCTTGGACATTACCTACATACATATATACCTTCACAATTATTCAGCTGTGTGTATGCGTGTGAGTTCGTGTGGGTGTGTGTGTAAAGGGCGCAACCGGCATTGTGCTCTCCACCAGCAACTTGTTGCGCTGCCCTAGAACGCCATTGGTTTTTGCACACGACCGGCAGAACAGTCAGGATGGCCGAGTGGTCTAAGGCGCTGCGTTCAGGTCGCAGTCTACTCTGTAGGCGTGGGTTCGAATCCCACTTCTGACAAGAATTTTTTTATTTTATAAAATTGCTTCAAGCAGACTGTGTAGAATATACGTTATTTTGGGTATTGGTGTATTTGTAACCATTGGCATGGTCTTATCTTACGGCCCTATATGTAATCAGGATCGTAAAATGCAATCTGTCGCTTAGAACTGAGAATTCCAATTTTTTCTTAATAGCACACTTTACGACAATATTATCTCGTGAATAATGAGCAGCTATAAAAATTTAATGCCAATTGAATGGCTTTTAAATAGCAAATAAAACGTGCCGTATTTACCAGCCGACGAGCAGCTTTTAAAAGCTCTGCGAGCCTTTTTCAAGAAAATTGAGCATAGCTTTTATAGCAAACGAAGTAGACATGATCTCGTACCACAATAAAAGCTCTACCTTGTAGGCCACCCTCGATATGACACTCTCAGAGAAAGCTTTTATGCCAACGCGCTCAGAAACCAAGCTTACGAAAACAACAACGAGCCCAAGAGCTTTCAAAGAGCAACAAAAGCGCCAGCCGATAGCTTTCAGTACGTTACATTATACTTAAAATGACGCAGGCGAAACTTTTGGCAGTCTTTGAGATACCATGACGTAGCTTGGACAGAACGTAAACTCAATCAAGCAGAGCTAGCTGAAAGGCGAACTGAAACTGAAACACACAATTGAAATAAACGCCTGCCGGCCGTTTGGAAGCTTTTGAGAAGAATTCGAGAAAACGGAACATAAAGAGAACTGATAATTGTGCCAGGCGAAAAGCACGCCACGCTAACAACGTGTTGCGACTGTGGCGTGCAGGAAGGTTATTCAACTCAAGGCGTTAGCTTTCCGAAGAACACAAGGTACGTACAGCATAGATAACACAGTTTAAGTTATACTCTAGTTATGTACTATTTGACAATGAATATATGTGAGTGAGTGAGTGAGTGGAAAAGCAACTTGACCACTTCTGCAACATCAGCAGCATTGGAGGAAGGCGGCAGACAACTTTCGGCGGCGCGGCAAACGGCGTAAGCGCTGTTCTGTTAGAGCTTTCTATATGGCTGCTCAGTGGGCCAAAAAAGCTTTTGCTCATTTGAAAGAGAAAAAGATGAAACTGCAGCAGCGTATTACTGCCGAAAGCTGCACAAGAGAGCGCAAAAGCTTTTAACTTTTATTTCGCTGTGTCGTCTTTCTCTTTCCACTCTGCTTTGTGCTTGATTATTAATGCCCAAGCTAAGTAGATGTGTAAATGCACACACAGTCCACACATTGTAATCGGTGCTTTAATTTTAATATTTTTAAGATTTCGTAACCCTTGTGAGCCATCAAAATGAGCACTCTACGCATTTGCAAGGCCATGTCCCTGCATCCCCGCGCAAACATAGCGACTTCTGATGCAGAACAGGCAGCTAATGCCAGCTCGAGGATATGTCTAATGGGCTGCGAGGCGAGCCCAGCGGAGCTGCGACGCTTTCCAGTCCACGATACGAGTCGGTAAGTGCTTACGCCCAAATTAATTTTCTTCAATATCTTTTGCTGATCTACATTAAAAACCAGTTTATGGGCGGCTCAGGCTTGCATCAAAGCTTGTTGCGCATCAGAAATTCTCTTTAGCATAAGTGTGTCTGTTTATATGTATGTATGTCATGCAAGTATACAAATAATATTCCAGACAAACTTACCAATCTGAGAGTAAGCTTTTCTGTTTAGGCATCGCTTCGCCGTCAAGTCAAAGGTTGATGAACTTTCTGCGCCCGCATCAACTTCATAGAAAAATTTCAATGCCATGGAAAAACAACAAGTACAAGCTGAATGTACATATGTATGCGTTTGAGTTGCAATTATGCACATTGTGGGTGTGAGGGAAACAGCGACAGCATAAGAAGCTGCGTCCCACACACACACACATAGGCACGCATAGAAATATTCCCCATCGGTTTATTTATAACTCTCTCACTCTCTCGCTCTCTCGCTCTCTTGTAATGCGTACATGGCGCGCTCTGTTGGCCGTGAAGTTTTTGCAGCAAAAACAGTTCTGTGCACTGGAGTTGTTGCCATCAGCTTGAAGTTTAGAGTGGATATGAAATGTGAGATGGCAATCTGCAAGCAGTAAAAAGTGCGACATGTTAAACATATTTACATAACAAGTAGTAATGGGGCAAATATTATAAATTGTTATAGTTTAAAACTGAACATTAGGTAGAACAATTTAATCCGAATAAATTAAAAAGTAAAGGTTCACAAGAACTCTTGTTATTCAAGGACAATACCAACATACGCATGCAACCCTGTGTGCCAAAAAAGCATGCAAGCCTCTATCCAAGCAAAAATTTAAATCAATAGCCTACGATCACTGACTTCAATGACAATTTTACATTTTATAATTTATATTGATTTTAAATTAATATAATTGTATTTTCCATTCAATTTATTTTTGCTATGGCTGAAAAAATAGAAGTCAAATAAGTGGAAGTAGGTGCAGCCTTCCGCACTGCCAAAAATCTAGGCGCGACTATCCAAGTATAAAATTATTCAAGTTTCCAGTCAAGGATCCAGCGATTTTCAAGCAATGGGCTCAAATATGCAACTTCAGCGAGGATTTTCTGGCAAAAGCATCTTCCCTTTTTCTGTGCCAATATCATTTTTCGCCGGATAAAATTGGAATAAGATTTCTAAAACCGGGATCAATACCAGATCGCAATTTGTCCCCTGGTATTAGTTGTACTACTGATGAAAATCCTTCAAATCTTGTAAAATTGCCCCCACGAAAAAGAAAGAAACCAGCTGAACTTTGCCGCCAATGTCCCAAAAAGTCAACAATGCTTAAAATCTATCAAAACCAATATTTATTATTTAGAAATACAGCCGAGGTAAGAAAGCTAAGAATCTATGAACTAAAAAGGGAAAATAATACTTTAAAACAAAAGATAATGCAATTAAGAGGCAACGACATATTAGCTAAAATGAGTTTAAATCAAAAAGGAGCAAACAATTTGATACAGAATGATTCAGACTAAAAGGAGTTTACATTTTTCAAGAGACTCAGTGCATCTTAATTTTGTACTTCATTCTATTAGCCATATATAGCTATATAGATATGTATTTAGTTTTTCTGTGTGTACATAAATTAAAAATGTAATCTATTTAGTTCCTAGCAAGTATCCCATATAAAAAAATAAGTTTTTTATACCTACATTTAAAAACAATAAAGAACAGCTTTCTTCGGCAAGCCAAATGTAAATACCCTTGTAACAGAAAATTGTACTGTGCCAACGCTAAATTTTCTAACAAATGTCCTGGGGTGCAGATTCAGCTATTTTTAGCTAATTGTAGCTGTTTTTTTAGAAGTCTTCAGCCCAAAAACAGTAGCAATTCGACGCTGATTAAAGTATTTTATTGGCATTTTAATGTCAAATACAAGCAAGACTTTTAAGCTAATTCAGCTATTTTTAGCTTTTTTCAACATTTAGCTACTTTCTGAAACCGGCAGTTGGCAGCTCTGCCTACCATTAACATTGTCTTTGTGTTGTTCTTGCCTGCGGGGTGGGCGGCAATGGCAAGTAGAAGCAGCAGTTGAACGCCGGCACAAGACGCGCAACAAACTTCCGCTCCCCGAGAGCGAGAGCGCGGCGAAAGCACCACACATGCAATAAATTTATACACACACACACACACACATACATACTCACAAAGAGTAACAGTGCAATGAGCATAAAAAGCGCTTTTTGCAGCGACAACTTTTGGCGGCCATGGCAGAACTTTTCATTAGCTTGTGCAAACTTCACGTGTGTGTGCGTGCGAGAGAGCGAGATGGGATCTAATTTTAAAGCTGCACAGGAAAAGCACCGCCAAAAGAACGAAACTTCAATGCAGTTCTTTACAGTAAACAAAGAACTTCCGAGGCGATCGCAACGCTTGAGCAGCGCTTGAGTGTCGTATTGCGGGTAAATTCCATAGGAAAAACAAAAGTTTGCCATACAAAATAAAAAAGTTAGTTAAGTGTCGAAAGCTTTCGAATGCAGAACTTTTGCAATTGGTGCACAAATTGCGTTGTTGACCCAAGCTGAGCTTGCATTTTGACTAAGGAGAGAATCGTGCTGCCAGCACAACTACAAACACAAACACAAACACAAACACACACACACACACACACACACACACACATACAGGCATACACACATGCAAACAACTTGCAACTTGGCCATTGCGAGCGTGCACTGAACGAACAATCCACAATTGTAATTCCTGCAGCTGCAACTATTGGCTGAGGCACTTCGGAGTGAGCGACCAACTGGTGGAGGAACTTGGCGGACTGAAAAAGCTGCGCATCTGCTTCAGACACTTCAGCCAGCGCAAGGCAATGGCCAAGACGCGCATCAAGACGACGCCGCTGCGTATATCCAAGCCAAACAAAATAGCAACAGAAGCGACAACAACAACAACAACAACAGAAGCAATAACAGCAGCAATAACAGCAGCAACAACAGGGACAGCATCTGCTAAGCCCATGGCAGACAGCACAACAATTGAACTGGTCGATGTGAGTGCATTTGTCGCATGTTTAACCAACAATTTTAAACGATAGACATTTGTTTTTTTTTAGAGCTCCAGTGGGAACGGGCATGCACTGAAACAGGGCACGCAGGAGCAGTCGGTGACCACGATAACACCCGTACCGCAGCGCTCCCACTCGATATGCTCATCCTCGTCCGTCTCCAGCGATGTGCAGTCCATCAGCTCGGACTATGAGGCCAGCATGCCGCTGTCCGCTTTGGTGGATGCACACGCCCAGCACGGCACAGGCAAAGCAACGAATGGGCTGGCCAAGAAGCGCAAGCTGTATTTGATAACGGAGAAGGCGGATGAAAAGAATGGCAGCAACCTGGCCAACGGGCAGAAGCGCAAAATGTTTGTGGTCGTGGAGCAGGAGAAGGATACGGCTGCCAAGAAACTAATGATTGTTACGGACAAACCACAAGCGAATCTCACACAGCACTTGGAGAAATTCCTGCCGGAGATTCTCAGCTGCATACAGGGCAAGGAGCAGCAGGCACAGGCGAAGGTCAAGCACCCCCTGATCAAGCATCAGGCGGTCAAGCAGGAGCCGCTTCCAGTGAAACCAGCGCTTCCAATCATTCAGAAGCCGCACATAACGCTTCCGCCCAAGAAGAATCCCACGAACTTTGTCAAGCTGGAAGGCTCGCCCGGCATTACATTACCTGCCAGCGTGTCCATTGTGCCCGTGGAGCCAGTCAAGGAGTCGCCGCCGCCGCTGGAGACGGAGACCAACATAAATCTGTCGCCCGACTTTCGGTTTCTTATGAAGATATTGCCCAAACTGGAGCAGCTGCCCGAACCGCACAAACAGCACGTCAAGCGTTCCATACAGATCTTTGTGGAGGAGAGCTACAGCCATTATGGCAAGAAGGAGTAGCACGTAGCACAGCTAGCGGAAATTATCACTTATCATTTTAGAGTTTCCTTATAAGTTCCCCCGAGGGCAATTTTATAAAACAATTTTATATTCGTTGTCGAAGACTGATGCAAAACGTAACATACATACATATATATATTTTTAATGCACCGCCGCGCTGGTGCAGACCCTAAATTATTAAGATGCAACTTTTTAAGAGCCCGTTCGAATGAGACTGGGCGTACCATTTATATTTGTAGCCATAAAGAAATAATTGAATTCTCAACAATGAAAAACATAGTTTAAGCACTGAATATATGTGAGCTTTTAAGCTAAGAACTGAATTTGTTATTTCTACTTTCTTAAAAGAATTTATCTTTCTTTCAGAAGTCTTAACTGCTGTGGCGCCATCTGTTTACAAATAGCGACACTATGTACAAGTACTGCTTTATATGCAAGCAGTGCATGTTTGCTTGTGTTGTTTACACCTCGTAAGCAGTGTTCTAACGTGCCCTCGAATTTGATTTAACGCTCAATTACTTTTTTATATATTCAATATTGAAATATATATGTAGAATATGTACTTACCAAGATTTTAATACATTTCCATTTTTAGACGAAGGTAAACAGCCGTACGCACATTCCTAAAAAATAAAAGTAGTAGGCTTAGAGTGCGAAAAGGGAAAAAACTGTTTTGATTCTTTTCTATTCTATTTCAAGATCGGACTTCATTAAGCGGAGTTATGGTCATTACATTTATAAAAAAAAAGCTTGGAATTGGAATATCTCGAGTACTTGAAGTCAGATTTTCAAATACTCAAGTACTTGAAGTCAAATTTTCGAGTGCCATTCAAAAATTCGAACTTCTATTCTAACTTTTTACCGAGATAGGCATTAGAGCTCTTGGAAATTTGTTCAAATGAAAAATATCGAGTATTTTAAGTGTGATTATCGAGTGGTATACCTTATTGAACTTGCCAGTGTCAGGACCATCAATTGGAATTCCAGTATTTCAATTCTAAGTGTTGACCAAAATCGACAAAAATGGCAAGGAGTGACATCAGAATTTTGTCGAAAATCGTGTCGTTTCTGAAATCAAGAATTTGTTATTCTAATCTGTTCTATAGACTCTCACGATTACAGAACGGCGAATCTCTCTCAAATCGGACTTCATTTAAGGTTTTTAAAAAATATAAAAATGGAAATATCTCGGGTATTATAAGTCCGATTTTCGAGTGGCATGCCTCTAACTCGCGCGGACCAGGACTATCAAAAACATAAAACAAAAAACAACAATTTCAATTCAGAGTTTTAAACAAAATCAGCAAAAATGGGAACGAAAAAAGTTTGATGCTAATCTTTTTTTAAGATTCTTACGAGTGTAAAAGGCAAATCTATTCAAGCTCGGATTTCTTTTAGCCAAGTTAAAACCATTTAAATTAATTAAATTAAAATATTTAAAGTTCTGACAACTTTCATAATAAATATTCAGACAACTTGTTAAAAAGTGTTCCCATTTAGAAAGAAAATTTGAACGCTTTGTTTTCGTATCTTTTGTTTTGCATTGTAATTCCAAAGAACTTTATTTAGTTTGAAAGCAATTTTTACTGTTTTTCTTGTTCGTTTTTTTCGTTTTTCGTTTTTGTTTTGGATTTTGTTATTTTCGTTATTTGTTTTCAGTTGTACGTTATAATATTAGTAAGTCTAGTGGTTGTTTTGCTTTTAGTTAATACAAGGGGGCTTCTAGTGTGCATTATGGCATTATGTTGGGTATGTAATTCTTGAAGAGTATTTGCTCGCCTTTAATATGCTAATGTACAATTGTGTTAGTTAGTTAGTGTATTTAATGGTTACGCTTGCGTGCATAGTTATCATAATTACATATATACAGGTGTTAAACAATGCTTCTTCAAAACTAACGATCAGTTTGATCCAATCGAATCCGAAAGGTTTAAGGACATTTTGCTCAAACGCGTGCAATTTTCTTTTGTTTTCGATGAGAGCTGCTCTACTAGATATTATTTTCTTTTTTCCCTCCCAAACTGTGCATTTTCACATATACATTTATAGAGTTGTGTGTGTGTGTGTGTGTGTGTGTGTATATATTCATTTTTACAACATTTATCGAATTTCCCATAGAATAATGAATAAGCCTGACTTTAAATATTGTTTATGCCATTGTTAACTACTCGTACATTGTGTTGTGTCCTACATAATTATCCGCAAGTTATCTTCTTCTTCTTTTTAAGGGGGGGGGGGGACTGTTTCTCTATAGGTAAATATATAGTACGACGGGTAGATTTGTTAGTTGCTCTCGTGCTTTTTACATGTTTCTACTTATTATTGGGGTATGCATAAGAAAAGTTACACACACGTCGACATTCGACATTTGACTTTTGACTCGAATATCGTCAATGAGAAGCAATCACAAAGTTTCTCTCTCTATATATAAGTATATGTTATTTATATGCCACTATAAGTACACGTACCATAGATAATATATCGTTTAATTATAATTTCTGCATGTCATGTATTTACACAATTTCACTTTATATTTTGGTTTTTCTGTGCAGTTTCCAGCTTGGGTTCTAAACATCTACGAGTACATTCATAATCTGAACTTTTAAATGGTAGTGTGTAGGGGGGGGGGGGGGGGGGGAGGGGTGAGGGGTTGGCTAAGTTTTAAGCATGTTTTCTACTCACATTTACATCAAAAATTTGTTAATGCATCGAATATTTAATATATCTTTTTTGTTTTTGTGTTTTTTTTGGTTAAAAAACTGTGTCACAATTTCTACAAACAGCCTTTTGTTAAACATGTTAAACGTACATTTATGTATTTTGTATGCAATAATTAATTAGTTATTTTTTGTTTAAGTGTTTTACATTTTATAAACTTTTCTTTACATGTTTGTTTTTCTTTCTTTATAACCTGAGCGCAATTTTTGTTCTGTTAAGAAAACATGATCTTTTTATTTTAGTTAATGCTTGCCAAAAATTTGTTAATTGCATTTTTGTTTGCTTTTTGTTTACTTACTGGCACAAATATTCTTGTTGAAGTTTTGCATTTGAATATTTTGTATTATTTATGAGGGATATTTAACAGCAGCCTCACGAACCGCTCAAAAATGCTTTATAATAAGGAAATGTAGCAAAAAGTGTTAATTAATATTTACCTGTACTGGAATATATCTGACGAGTGTTGAAAAGAGTTTTCTTTTCAGTTAATCTTGCATATATTGTCCATACATACACATAGTATATTTGTATATATATATATCGCATATAGTGCTAGGTTTGGTTTATTCTTGCGAACAAAAAAAAATGCATACACGTATTTATAGCTATAAATTCTAATTGCAAATGCATTGGGTTTGCGGTCTACTAGACGGTACGGCACAGGTGTGCCACAAGGTAAGTTGCAAAAGGAAAATCAAGGAATAAAACAAAAGAGTTGATTCGTTTCTTTTTTTTTTTGTTTTGTTTTTTATACAAACAGGTTTACACAATTTTCTTTATTTCACTCTGCAGCCATTATGAAAAAAACGTAGTCTCGCATATTAGGTAGTTTATACGTAGGTTCTACTGTATATAATTAGCACATATAACTATGTAGTACTGCTCCACAATTGGCTTTAGATCAAATACTAATGCTTTTTAGTTTTAGTTTATCGTTTTTACTTAACTTAACTAACAATTACACAAATTGGCTCAAACACACATTAAACCTTAAGAATCCATTATAGTTACGTTTATATTTCGATTTTTTAAAGGATTTATGTTCTTCTTCTTCTTCTTTTGATAGCAATTGAAAGTTGTGCAAAAATGTACATGTCCATCAGGATTCAGAGTAGAATCTGATCTATTATATATCTATATATATATATGTGTGTGTATAGTCATATTTGTTGCTGCTTTAACTAAAACAAAACTAGTTACGGCTTACAAATTACTTGGATTAGCACATATATACATATACGTATGCATATGTATGTATGTATAAGTATTGGTGGGGTGTTAATGTTATGTACATGGTGCTTACATAAAGTCAAAACGAAATTTATGCATTACATCAAATATGCTTCTATGCATGTGTGTGCATGTGTGTGCATGCATGCATGCATGCATGCATGTATGTAAAATGTGCTTAGTATCTAATTTACGATGATAATTTTGCATTGTATTCGTTTTTGTTTATTTATATTATTATAGTTACAGATTACAATTAATAAACTAAAAGTATATACTTTATATTCAATGTGTCTGTGTGTGTATGTGTGTGTGTGTTTTAGCCTTAGCATTCGAGTGTCTGTGTGTGAGTGTGTGTGTGACCAAAGACTGTAGTCTATATATATATATATATGTATATATTAGAAAAAATGGTTATTTATAAACAAAAGTAGCGGCTATGTGGGAAAATGGAAAAGGAAAATCGTCTGTTTTGAGGGGCGAGCATTTGTCAAAATGAACCGTTACATTTGCAGTTTTCAGCCACGATTTCCTTTTCGCTTTTCATCATGTTTTTTGTTTTTCGTTTTGAGATCTCCGTGAAAGTTTGAATTCATATTTGTTTTCCATCAATTCTTTAATGTCGTCTTTAAGCGTACGCTAAATTAACGCATATTTAAGTGTATTATATATATATATATGTGTGTGTGTGTATACATAAATATATATTTATATATATGTGAGTGTGATTAAAAACTACATACATAAGAAAGCAGCACAGTTAAGAGTCGAAGAAATTGGGTTTACAAATTGGCTTCTAGTGAGCGTATTTTTTTTTTCATTTTTTTTTTGCGCCTACAATTTCGAGAATTTTAACGTTTTATCAAAAAGACTTTACAAATTACGAATACACAACTACACACATGTAATGGATATATATGTATGTACGTATATATAAATATGATTTATATATAGTTGGCTACATTTAAACTCATAATTCAAGCGTTCAAAATTTGCAATTCTTCAAACATTTGGCTTTCTACATTCCGCGTGCTATCCAAAAACATTTCTGACATTTATATATATTGCATATAGGCGCGCTTGTCAACCATCTCTTTTGTAAGGAAATGAGAGAACTCAGTCTTAAACATACATACAGTTAAATATATATATCTATATATATATATATATGGGGTCTAGAGATACTAATAGATCTATGCGGAACTGGCGCTCCTTTAGCTATAGCATTTAGTTGGCATGAGCATTTGTTGCTACTTAAAAAGAATACAAAGATTAGGTTGAAGATGGACTTTAGAGAGGGTAGATGGGGGTGGAGGGAAGGGGGGGGGGGGGTGGTGGCTTAAAGAAGGAAATTAAACTATATTACAGTTAAACTAATTAAGAATATAAACTAACTTGAATTAGCAAGACGTTCAAATCCCGTTGCTAGACAGCCAAGCACACACGCACACACACACACACACACACACACACAGAGAGAGACGGAGAGAGAGAGTCTGACTACATATAGTAGTTCGCCTTATCGAGTGCTGCCTGTCGCACTGTGGCATGTGCTGTGTTTGTGTTTGTGTTTGTGTTGCTGCTGCTGCAACTTTTGAGCGCCTGTGCACATTCACTGGGGGGCAGTGTGTCGTCCACTTGTTGGTTTTGCTTTTAACTAACATTTGCAACCTACATAGTATATACATACATATACATATACATATATATATATACATACATATATATACATAGTTGAAATGCGTGCGCTACAAACTAAAGATGATTTGCCTGCTGCAGCAAAACGTATTAATAGTTAGCATAAAATTACAAATAATCATAAATTGTGTTTAACTAAGTATTAGTATTAGAATTATTACAAAAAATTAAATTGTTTAATTGCATAATTGCTTGAGTTATGCAATTGAATCAGTCCACTGTTAAAATATATATTTTTCTCAACTAATTTCGAAAGTTTTGCGTGCTTTTTTGCTTGTTATTATTTTTTGTATTTTTCCTATATGACATACAGACACACAGATGTACATAAACAAACACACATTTGATTTATAAATACATACATATATATATATATTGTTTTATATATACATATATATATATAGAACTGTGTGCGGCATTTATAGAGCCATTCTACATATAGTTAGAAACCAGTTTCAAAATTGAAGCGCAATAAGTGTGAAAAAAATTGTTGTGTTTTTCTTGTTAGTTTAGAAAATTGTAATTAATTATAGTTTATCTTAGTTTCTTCTTCTTTTTTGTTGTTGCTACACATAGAGTTCTACACAGATAAAAAACGAATTCATTCAATGTGTGTGTGAGTGTGAGGTAAATTTGGCAAACAAATTTGTTCTTGTCTGTGTGTGTGTGTGTGTGTTTAAATATAATATTATTAATATATTACTTTTTGTTTATTACGACGTCTATGTGTGTGTGTGTGTGTGTGTGTGTGTGTAGTTTTGTTTTGGACTAATTGCTAATTAATTTACATAGATTTGCAAAGCGCTTAAAATAAAACATTTTGTTTAGACCAAAAATTTGTTTCTTTTTTTTGTTTTGTTTTGTTTTGTTTTGTTTTTCTACCAATTTTGTCAAGCACAACAAATTGTTTTTGTTGCTCAAATTTGTGTTGTCTACGCTTTCAATTTGTTTGCGTAATTTTTTGTTTTTTGTTTATAATAATTTTCTTCGAATTTGCTTGTTTTTGTTTTGTTTTTGTGCCGCTGCCTTAACAACAATTTCGCTTGTTGTTTTCCTAACTTTTCTTAACTTTCGTTTCATTTCTTTTTTTTTTAGACTAGTTTCAGTTGAGTTACGTTACATTTTTGTATGTGTTTTGTTTTACTTGTAGCTTGCTTTCATTTAAGCCTATTTGTAGTTTTTGCTTTTTTTTTCGTTTTGTTGTTGTTGTGTTGTTTCCTTAGTTGATTTCGGTGGTGGAATGCTTGAACTTTTAAACAAACAGCGCTTAAAAGTGTTTTGGCGCCTTCGATTTAAACCTTGTTTCATCCATTCATCCTGCCGCTCGCGAGGGGGTTGCAGGGGGGCGCTGTTTACAGCGGGGCGCTGCGCCTAGGCCCCTTGTCCGTAGCTTATGTGCAGCTAAATAGTATTATATTGTTGTGTATGTGTGTGTGTGTGTTGTTCAAGTGTTTGCTGTTGTTGTTGTTGTTGTTGTTGTTTGAGTGTTGCTTTTCATATTTTAGGCAGCAATCGCCTCATTTTGCCGTCATTCCCATTGATGCGGCGAAGGCGGCAGCTCCGAGGGATGCGCCACAGTCGAGCTGTTCGGTGAGAGAATAAACCAAAACATAATTAGTTGCCTGGCTTATTGCAAAGCATACTTAACATTTAGATAGAGAGAGAGAGAGAAAGAAAGAGATAGAGACGTAGAGAGACATGCAACAACTATTAACTAACATACAACATAAGAGTTATATAGTTAAGCCACAGTTAAGACGTGGTAAAAAAGCATTAAGCACAACAACCAAAATAAATAAACGAGAAGACAAACTAAATACAAACAAAAATGATGAAAATAAATATAAACAAAAGGTGTGTTGAAAGCCCACAACAAAAAAGTGAAATACATGAAAACTCAAGACAACAAACAAAACAAACTAAATACAAATCATAATATTAGGAATTCTATGTTTTATTTGATTAATTCTGGACTTGAAGTGAAAGTTGTTCAAGCGGCATATTTCAAGATATATTTATTTTTCGTTTTTTTATGCTTGCTTTTCAAACTACTTTCTTTTTGACCATTGTCACTGCTGCTCAACTGCACTGGAATATATATGTGATGGTATAGTATTATAAATCTAAATCGGATTTTCAATTTGAATTTTGCTGTTTGTTGTTGCTGGCAGTGTTTAAGGGTTTAATGCTATGTGGCTTCTATATTGAGTGTGGTTGCAAATGTTTTGGCCAAATTCGTGATATGCAGAGCTTCATTCTGGGCCTAAACGGGGCTGGGCTTGTGTGGATGGGCTGTTTAGTGTTTGGCTGTCATAATGTACAAATTATATATTTTTTTTTTTTGTATTTTTTTTGTGCCAAATAAGAATTAAATATTAGTTTCGGCACGCCGAAATTTTAATAACCTTGCAGTTTTATTATGTACATTTTATGTTTTTAATTTACAACTTCTTTTACTTTTTTCTAAGAACTGAACTTTAATAAAAATCTGGCTATGTTAGCTAAATGATATGATTCTGAATTATATGCAAGCTATATTGCCAGAAAGCAGCTGCAGCAAGTTTTAACAATAAAGCTTGACTGGGTGCTGAGTTCAGATAGGTATAGTTAGACGAACTTATAATTGTACTGCTAGAAAAAGTAGAGAATTCTTTGGCAAGCCGAAGATTCAATACCCTTGTAGACATTTGCTTTTGCAGATATGTGAGAAGTTTGTAGCTCGTTAATTCTGAGTTTGATGAAAATATCTTGGAAAACAGAAAATGTTGATGAATATTTTACAGCTCTATAATATAGTGCTCCGATGTTGATACTTGAAACTTATGATTGGTAAGATTGGTCAAGCTGACTTGATAAAAAAGTTTTCCGTGCAAAAATCTACTGTTCAACCGTTCGTTCCCATTGCAGCTATATGATATGGTAATTCGATTCGGCTGGTTTCGATAGAAAGACGGACTTATGGAACGTTTTAAGACGCTAGACTATTAAATTGAGAGACAAGTGTGCATAGAAACAGACAGACGGACAAACAGACTTGGCTTTATTGACTCGGCTGTCGATGCTGATCTAGAATATTTATACTTTCTGTGTTAAACGTTTCATGAGAAAATTCGAATACCCTCTAGAAGGTTAGATATGTTCATTTTATGATCAACATTTTAAAGAGCTAACCGCAAGGATATTATGATTGTTTAAATACCGAATTATTATCAATTTATTGTTGTTCATTTATGTGATGGTTATGGTTCTGTATCTGTGTGTGTGTGTGTATGTGTGTGTGCACATTCGCTATGTAAAAGGTAGAGCTGAATAGTGTAAATGAGTTGATTGAATAAAATTGATATTTAATGCTGTACACAATATGCGAATAGATATGTTATATGAGTTGCAAAAATGGAAACACATAAATTGGCTAGGGGGGGGGGGGGGGGCGTGGGGGGAGAGGTTGAGATATGTATGTATATAATGGGGGGCATGGGGTTTATATGATTATAGTTTTCAATTGGATTTTTGTTGCTTTGTTCGAAATGTCCATGAAAAGTGGTGCGTATTATTTGTTGGCTCTTTTTTTTTTATATTTATGCATTTTAGTTACTTTGTTTTTTTTTGGGCCAATTGCTGTTGCATTCGTTTTTGATTATTTCGGCGACCAGTTTCTGACATTTATAAACAATTTTGCAGTACATACGAGTTAGAAGTTGCCATTTTTGGTTTGGTTTTAAACATTTATGTACACAAATAACCCATTTAATTAATTAATGTAAGGAAAATAATGAGTTAAGTCATGTTTCAAACTTAAAGTATTAAAAAGTTTTTATACACATTTGCGATTAACAAACAGAAGAGGTAAAAAAAAAAAACAAGTATACATATATTGTATATATATATATATATGGTGAACATAGGCATTAAAATCATATATAACAAATTGTAAATGATAGTTTTTGTTTTTTTTTTTTTAGCAAATGTATAGCTATAGTATGTAGTTGCTTAATCAACAGACCTAAAGATTCAAGATCGCGCGCACATGGGAGTTGCTGCTGCCGAGGCCCCCACAATTGCAGTGTATCGATATATATATCGATTCGATTCGATAGCTTGAGTTCTTGCTTGCTTTCTTTCTTTTTCTTTCTTTCTTTCTTTCTTTGCTCGCTTGTCTTGCTTTCCTGCTTGCTTTCTTTCTGGCGGCAGTTTTGTATCTAGTTTTACTTTGTGACTTCTGGCTTGATTCTTGGTTCGTTCTGTTTTCTGTGTTGACTTGACTTTATTGGTTTGTATATATATATATATTGTATTTATCGGTAATCGGTTTATCGGTACGCGCCTAGTACTTGTACTTGGTCTTGGCCTGCGCAGCGGCGTCGGCGGCGTAGCAGCGGCAGCGGCAGCAGCAGCGGCAGCAGCAGCAGCAGCAGCGACAGGAGGAGCAGCAGTGCAAGTTGTGGTAGTAGTGGTAGTAGTAGTAGATATTCTCATTCTCATTGGCTTAACAACGCAAATATATAAATTAAATTTAATAGAATTGAATTATTTTATTCAATATTAATATCGATGTTCAAATAACACACACAAAAAACGATATAGGAAAAAAAAGAGAGAAACAAAAAATTAAAAAATTGTTTTAATATATATATTATTTTATATAAGAGATATCAACAACGTAGTGGAGATAGAGATTGAGAGAGAGAGAGAGAGAGAGAGAGAGAGGGAGAGAGAGAGAGTTAGAGAGAGAGAGAGAGAGAGAGAAAGTTAGAGAGAGAGGTAAGCAGAGTTTGGGGCAGGACGGATTCGGACTTGAAGCGGTGACAAAACAAAAACTTTGCCGTCTTGAAAAAGAGAGACAGAATGTGCGCAAAAAAGTTAAGAGAAGAATTTGATTTTTCAACGAATTTTTTGAAACAACAACAAAAGAATATATATAAAGAGAAAGAGATAGAGATAGAGAGAGAGAGAGAGAGAGAGAGAGAAAGAGTGTGGATTTGTGGTTGGGTTATGGATCAGGGGGGTTGGAACGAGGGCATACAATTTGTTTGTAGCTGTTACGCAACGTGCAAGACGTGTTTTATGGTTGATTGCAACTCACCTGGCGAAACTCTTGAAGGCCGCACTCTGCGGATTAATGCAGAGCGGTACACGGCCCGTTTGCAGCTGCTCGGCAATGAATTTATGCATTTCCTCTGTAAAAATGTTATAGCAAAATAAACAGGGTTAAACGTGGACGAAGTTTTAGTTTAGTTTTATGCATTATTCGACTTACCCTTCACCTGCTGCACGGAGGTGAGCTTGCGCTCCCATAAATCATCAAAGGGCTGCCCGGCGGATGGCTCAAAGTCCGCCGTATACTGACGCATCCCGGCTGAGGTAGTGAAACAGCATTTGCACATGCACGAATGATAGCGCAGACGACCCTCATCCAGATACGGATGCGCCAGAGCATCTGTCACAGAAATGCGCTTGTCCTGTGTGTTCCGGGTGGGTAGGAGAGGGTGATTAGAAGAGAAGATTGAGTGCCGCCTAAGTTGGCTGAACTTACCGGATCAAAGACAAGCATCTGACATAGCAAATGCACCGCCTCGTGCGTGGCATGCGAGCTGAGCGTGTAGAGTACCGAGAAGGATGGCGGCTTTGGGGCACGCCTCAGCATGTGTGTGCGTGCGCCCTCGCAGGCGTGACGCATGTCCTCCATGGTGGGTGTGCCCAGCAGCTCGGTGATCAGCTCCAGCTGCTGGACAGGATTCTGCGCCTGGAACAGTATACGCCGGCCGAGCAGCTCGCCAAAAATGCAGCCCACCGACCAAACATCCACCGCGGATGAATAGTGGCGCGCACCCATGAGTATTTCGGGCGCCCGATAGTATTGTGTGACCACCTCCTGGGTCATGTGCTTGGCCTGATCGGGCTCCTCGACGCGTGCCAGACCAAAGTCGCATATCTTGAGCACACAATTCGAGTTGACCAGCAAATTGCCCGGCTTTATATCGCGATGCAATATCCGTGCCGAGTGCAAATACTTCAGGCCGCGCAATATCTGATAGAGAAACACCTTGATGTGATCGGCAGACAGATGCTGTGGCGACACTATGATCTTGTGCAGATCCGATTGCAGCAGCTCAGTTATCACATAGCTAAAGTACATTCGAGTTAAGGAAGTAATCAATATGAAGCACATTTGGCAGATACCAATGCATGTCCCCCCCCCAGCTCTTGATAAACTTTTCGATTTGTTTGCTTTCAACTTTTTCAATTAAGTAGTTTTTCGCTCGCTTTTAGCCACCACTTTGATGCGCTGAAAATAGATTTTTCATTTTCATTTTCACGGTCGCCCTGCCCCCCCTCAAAAGCTGCCAACATTTTGCCTAACTGTGACCCAAACAGCTGCGCCTTTCTAAGGTTTAAGTCTGTTAAGCTCCTGAGTTGGTTGCGAGTCGAGTGCGTGAGTGTGTGGAATTATCTTTCACATATTCAGGCAGACTTTGTTCAAACATGTTTGTTAATCTATTCAAATTATTTTTCTTTTATAATCTATTGTTGACATACGCAATATTGTTGATGTTTGTGCTGCTTCCCTTCGTGTATTTCCCAATACTTTTGCCAATGACACGTTTTGGGTTTTAAATTGTAGACGTAACTTTTTCCGCCTGTGGAAAATTTATATACTTATACCCGCCCTATCTTCATATCTTAAGCCCACTTTTCTTCCAGTTGGAGTTGGAGTTTCCAAAATCGATGAAACATTTCTTATAAATATAATAAAATCGGACAACAAATCTTTAAACTCCGCCCAAGCAATCTTTGACTCCCATTTTCCATCGAGCGTAGATTGTGCAAAAAGTGTGAAACACTTCCCAAATGAAGATGTCGAATGTGTGAAACACAACTCAAATGAATTAGAAGACTTTATAAATTAGTTTGTGGCTTGATTGAATGGCGTAAAACAGAATTCATTTGAACTTTTTCGCGACGTGTTGGAATGAAATTTCCCAAAGCTTGATTTGAATTCTTTCTACCTCTTACGTCTGTCTAGGGCTGTGATTTGATCCGCAATTAGTCCGTGAGTCAGTCAATCAGTCAATATGTCAATTATAAATATATCCCAACTCATCTAAGATCAATATTATGATAACTAGCTTCTATAAGTTAATGAAATAATCAATTGCCTCACAATATAAGATTTGAATCGCCTTTAGCTAGCAAGCTTAGTATTAGAGATAACAATATCACGTATATTATCTATATATATAGAAAAAGGAGAAAAATATCTGGTTTTTGATTGTCAGCCCATTTCATCCCAGTACAGCTACATCTTTTACTTGTACCTGAAACAGTAGCTGAGCTCTTAAAGACCTGCAATTCCCTAAGCTGATAAGTTTTGGATAAACGCCTCAAAATAACAAAATTTGCATATACCGCAACTAGTTAGGCTGCATTAGTTGATTTTTTTTTGTTTTAAAAAAGGATACATTTCCTGAAAGAAGTCCAAATGTGGTGGCTGTAAAATGTCCAAAGCTGACAGCACCTGAAATGGTAAATATAAGAGAACAAAACGTTATTGAGTTACGTTAATAAATCTCGCACACAAGACACAATGTAATAAAGAGACGAGTGTGTTTATTGGCTGTGGCATTAGCAGCATAAATCTTAAGACAATGCTGCAGCATTACACCTACAACAGCAGCAGCAACAATGACGCCCATTTGAGAGCTGGTTTCATCTTGGTTAGGATCATAAATTATGCACTTCAATAAAATATAAATAAAAATCAAGCTCGCAGCGCATCAAATGCGCCATTTAGTTGCATGTTAAGTGTCGCTGCCAGGCACTAAAATGCCACAAAGTTCAGCAGCAGCAACTTGCAACAACTACTTGCAACTTGCAACAACAACGTTGACCCGTTGATGATGTTTAGCGGCAGATACAAAACACGCCACTGTCTGCCGAGCTGCTTCGGGGGAGTTGTCCGTTTGTCTGCAGCAGAAGGCAACGGCTTTAAAAAAATATATATAAGAAAAAAACAAAAACAAAAAGCGAAAATAATAAATAAAAAACGGGACGAACCGGCAAGAACTTGATGGACAGCAGAACACAAAGGCAACATCCACAGCAGCAACAACAACAACAACAACAACAACAACAATAACAACGTTGGACAAGCGTCGACAGTGCCAAAGCCCTCAGCTGCTGTCTCCTCGCCTCTCCCCCCGCCCTGCCCTCTCCCACTACCGCTCTCCCTACGTTTTTGTGCAGAGCCAAAGCCTGAGCTTCCAGACAAGCGCTGATTTATTTTGCTTGCGGTCAAAATGATGAAGGAACTTCCCTCCACCAAAAGGCCAGTCGACGGCCACATTTGCCGCAATCCCCTCCCCCCCCCCCCACGCAGCACAAATCTAACAAGCAAGAGGCACAGCTGCGCGGGAGCGGGGGCGGGGCAGTTGTGTGTTGCAAGCAAGGCTGCAAAACGGTTACAAATCGAAACGCACCGGTTCGAAGCACAAATTGTCATTTATTTCTTATTATGAATCGAAACTTAAGCCAAATTAGTTCAAAATGAAAACCTCAAAACGAGACACTTCTTTACTTGATTGGCTTTTCTTTCATAGAAAGAGCCAGTGGGAAAATATTTGATAAATGACTTAAAATAATATAATAAAATATAAGAAATATAATAATAAATTATTTGTGACTATGACTCGAAACTTAAGCCAGATAAGTTCCAAATAAAAAAAAACTCAACTCGAGACATTTCTTTAATAGATTTCTTTTTCTTTCATAATGAAATCTGTAGCCAGACCTCGCAGCAAAATATTTACAAGCTGCCTACCTATTCAAATAATATAAATAATTATATTAAATTAAATTAAAGTCTTCATTTTGGACTTTTCTAATTGTTAGTGCAAAAATGTAGATGTAAATTATTTAATTAAAATGTTGCAAATGAAATACAAATCAAGTTGAAAATCAAAGCGCAGCTTTCAGTTTCACGAAACGCACCTAAAGGCAGGATTTACTTTTATGGCTTTACAGCCCTGGTTGCAACAGCCTGTGAGACACACGTGTGTCGTGTATGTGTGTGCGTGTGTGTGTGTGTGTGTGTGTTGCAACACAGCTTGAAAATCAATTTTCAATATCAATATGCAGGCCCAAATTTGAGAAAATCAAGCGCAGAGAAAATGCGAATGCGTGTGGCAACAAATATGTTGCACAACACACACACACACTCGCACACACACACACACTCTGTTGTTAGCCCGTTTTGTTGTTGTCGCTGGGCTGTCTTCCCCGCTGCCTGGATTTCTGTGTCGGCAAAAAAAGGCCACCAAATTGTTGCGAACTTTTTGAGGAATAAAAAAAACAAAAAACACACACAAAAAGTGCCGCCGCGCTGCTAAGCCGCCGTTTTCGAGTTGGCTTTAAGTGGCAACAGTTTTTAGCTTTTTTTAGCCTTATTACTTATTTTACATTTTTTTTTTTTATTCATTTACAAAAGCTGCTTCTGAGTGTCGAGTCTTTGCGGATTTCGCAGCGTCTTTGGCTGCGTTTTTGCCTCAGTTCTCTTGTAATATTTCAATGCTGTGCGCTGCGGTAATTTGGCGACTGCATTTGTTGCGCTTGCGGTTCCACAACAACAGAAAGAAACAAGTAGCTATAAGGAAAAACAATGGTAAGTGCCACAAAGCGAAGCTTGAAAACTTAAACTTTAACTTTAATCAGAGACGTGACTTTTATGTTGGAAATGATATCAAAGCAGTATAAAAAATATATATATATATTTTTGATATATTCGATTTGAAATCTCAAACGATAAAAAGGCTTTGACAAAGTAATGAAAGTTATGACCTCAACTTCAAAGTTTTGTAAGGAACATAGATGAAGATCAAAAAGCTTTCAATACTAGAGCTCGACTAGGGATATTCCGGCATCTTTTTGTATAACATGTTTAGTTTTCATAAGATTGAGGTATCTTTTATATTGCTTTTGAAGTTAACAATTAAATATAATTTAATCATAACTGAATGTTGGCGTGCAACCTAAAAAGAATATTTTACATAAAGGGACTACCCCTATTCTTTAATAGCTCCGCAAGTCTTCTCTGACAAGTAGCCCCCCTTTTGGTCAGTGCATAACAAAAATCTTCAAGTTAGTTGTTTTAGCTGCTTGCTGCTTGTTTCGCACACAATTTGTTGCAAGTTGCCGTTGTTGTTGTTGTTGTTGCCGCTGCTACCTGGGCCCGCTGCACTGTTGGCCTCACACGTGCGTCGCAGCGCTGCGCTGCAGCTAATTAACATTTCGCTGTGGCAGGCAAGCAACGCAATCAGAAACCAAATTTATGCAGTTCAAAATTGCCAAGCTTTTGGCTGCTGCTGTCCTTGAAAGTGCTTACAGAGGTTTTTAGAGAAAATACAAAGAAACATAAAAGAAGGGGGGCAAAAAAAAACATAGTTGTTCTTAAGCGAAACTAGGCGTGTAATAATACTAAACACAAACAACAAAAGCAACAACAGCAACAACAGCAACTAACGAGCTGAGCAAACAACTTAGACAACAACTTTGCTGAGGTGCAACTACAGAAGTTGCAGGTGGCAGCAGCAGCTGTGGCAAGCGACGAGGAGAGGCAACATTAAAAAGAAAAAGAGCATACTTTGAGCAAAGCTAACATAATCAGGAACAGCATCTTTTCTGACCCCGCCCCAAACACTGCACGCCCTTTGCGGGTCTTTAGCTGATTTCAGTTGAATTTCAAGTGGCAACAACAACTCGACTCAACTCGTGTCTTTAAACAAAAGCAAAAGTGTTGCTGGCGACATTTTCATAGCCAGCTTAAAATTCTAGCTAAATAATTGTTGCGGCCAGCTGCTGACAACATTTCCAGTTGTTGTTTCTTTTTATTCTTCTTTTTCCTACAGACTAATTAAAACGCCACAGATATTTGTCAGAGATTTTGTCAGCTGCTGCTGCTGAGACCTTGAAAATGTATCAGACAGCCAGGTGGAAAATTGTGTAATACCTTTTCCAGCTAAATAGAAAAGCATAAAGCGAAAAAATCTGGCAGCAGCTGCGCTTTAGCGAGAGACTGGAAGACAATTCAGTTGAGCTCAGTTCCACTTGGCGTCGATTGCCAAAACATAAACAACTCCGGGCGAAACGCATCAGAAATGAAATTGACATTTCAATTGGAATTTGCTGCGCCAAGAAGTAGAGCGTCTCAAATAATAACAAAATTTGCATGCAATTGATGCCAGGCATCAAACTCGAAACTCAATCATTTACATCAGGCTGCAGGGGAAGGGTTGAGTTGATGGCAAATCAAAGGCAACACTTCGTCGCCGACTAAAAGCGGCGGCTGCATGTGAGAAATGCTTTTCAATATGTGCGCCACGTACGTTGCAAAATCTTTTATTGAAATTCGCAATTGAAATAAGCAACAACAACAATGCATAATGGGGCAAACATTTTGCAGCGATTTGTTAAAATGTGTATTGCACACATTCACACATACACATACAATGTGCATTGCAGAGCAAACACACACACGCACACACACACTTTTGGCATTCTGTGCCATATAATGCAAAAGCAATTGAGACGATTGCCAGTGCCTTTGCTGTCACTCAAAGCGCTGATACTGTGTATATGTTGTGTGTGTGTGCGCGTGTGTAGGACTTGGGAATTGTTAGGGAATTGGCAAGAAGCAAAGCAAACTCTGGCAAACTCATGCAGCAGCCATGTCTCTACTCAGAAAGAAAAGCGCATCGTGCAAATGCGCACAGATAAAAGTATATATATATATATATATATATATATATATATATATATATATATATAAATATATATATGCAACACATAATAGCAAATTTGTAACTAAAAAAAATAACAAGCAAGTCAAGCGAGTTTTCATAATTTTGTTTTCAAAAAAGTTCCACAACAAACTTTCTATTCTATACAATACAGTTGTTGCTAGAACTGTTTGCGAATTCTAAGAGAAATCTAATTCGATTAGGTGTGTATATTAGGTTACTTCACTAGAATTGAATATAACATAAATTTTAAGCACCATAAATAAAGTGAGCCCTTTTCTAGGCTGCTTGAAAAATTTTCTACTATGCAGCCCGATTTTGGGCTAACTGGACGTTGGGGCTTGATTCAAATTAAATAAACATTAAACGAGATAATACGGATACCTTCAAAACACCGAAGATTGAATACCCTTGTAGACATTTGACTAATGGTTTCGCAGATATGTAAAAAGAGTGGGACTCGTAAATGCTGAGTTTGGTTAAAATATCTTTAAAAATTGAATATTTTGCAGTAAAAAAAACTTATTTTCTACCAAATCTGAATTCCCACATATTTGTTTTCCAAAATTAAGTCGCTTTATATACAAATATATACACAGTTGTAGCTAAAACTGTTTGGGAATTCCAAGAGAATTCGATTCGTCCTGACTCTCAAAGTAATTTATTTAAGCTAAATATTACAGATAAAATAAGTAAGCCCTGTTCTTGTTTACTTGAAGACCTTTTTACTATGAAGCTGGTTGGAGATTGATTTTTGTGAGAAATTAAATATTGTATGCTGATAACAGTTTGCATTTACAACAAATTGCAGTTTCTAGTAGCAAAAGCCTGAAATTGTGTTCAAGTTAATTTACCTTATATGAATTCCCATTGGAATTTACGTTCGCATAGCTCAGTTGGTTGTCGGAATAAAATCGTAATATTGCGAACGCTCTTCAAATTCAAAATAGCTTTTAATGAAGGCTTCTCACACACCCACACCATTATATATATATTCCACCCACGTGATGAATGCTGTGCTGTGCTCTGGTCACACCTTAACGCCCATTGAATGCGACGTCTCGAGCTCATTTTAGGTTGATTGCACTTGCTAAGATATGACAACGGCGGCGTTGCATGTAGGAAATGGAAATCGTATTGAAACAGGAAACAAACAATAGACATACAGCAGCAGCAGCAGCAGCAGCACACGTCAAGCCTATTTTTCGTTTTCGTTTTTTTCTGCTTTTTCATAAAGCACTTTGCATATTAATACAAAATTTGCATAGGTGTTGCAAGGTGTTGTCATGTGTGGGCAGAGTTGGCTTCATTAGGGCAACTCTTCAAATGCATTGCACAATTTTGACTTAAAGCTAACTAAATTAAAGAGTTGACTTGAATAGAATAGCCTGAGCCCTATCTGTCTCACCCTCTCTATCTATCTCTCACACTTTGAATGGCGCACAGTGTTGGTAAATACACGAATTTGTGACATTTGAAGTTAGCTTCAAATCATGTGTGTCAAATAATATTAGAAAAGTACGCCTAACTCATTTTAGTCTAATGACTGCATTGACATTTTGGCCTCAGTAAATGTCAAAAAACTATCTATATATAAATGATAAAAAAACAATATAGAAATGAAAGGCAAGTTGCGGCACGACGAACATTAAATACTCTAGCATATATACTTTATATAATTTTTCAAATATATTTGGTATATATGATTGGAGATTAGTAAAGATTATTGATTGCTGTAAGATAAAACTAACTTAAAAAGAGCAGAAGGATTTTTGATTTAAGAAGTCAAACTAACTTATAAAGGAGAAAGGTTTTTTGTACAAGAAATTAGGTTCTTTCTATAAAACAATAAGATACATTTGTCTGAAGATTCTGTTCAGGTAAGATATCTTTAAAAATGAAATCTTTTCTCAGAAAACAACATAACTTTAGACGGATAGTTATTATAGCAGCATCTATGATAGATGCATGATATGATATGATATAATATAATCCCAGATCCAAGCTTGATGACTCGAGAAACAAAGAAACTACATCTTGATATATATTCTCATTTAGAGTGCGCTTTTTCCACTAAGCGCTACGAAATTCGTCATTAAATTATAATAGCCTTCCTGAAAAAGGGTGTAACAAAGCACAATCAGAGATCGGACTGTGCACGTGCCCGTTGGAAAAACGAAATGTAATATTCAGATAAATAAATTAAAGCAAATCGACACAAAGTCACATAAAACTGGCCATAAAATTGCCCACAATGCAGCTGGGTCGACCTCTGTTCGCCATTCGGTGATATTTTAACATTTTATTAATAATTCTAAATGTTATATGCACAACAATAATTCTTTGAAATTTCGCTGCCATTTGCTGCCTGTCCACATGCCTCGCTGTCTGCTCTGCTGTCAGCCCCCCTCTCGGCCCCTGTCAGCCCCCCTCTCGGCCTCTGTCAGCCTCCTTTCGGCCCCTGTCCGCTTGTCGCCGTGTTAACAAATTTGCATGCAACAAAATGTTGGGCAGTTTTCAAGTCTCAGAGTTTTTTTTTTATCTGCTTTTCTTTACAATTTGTTGTGCATAAAATTTGGCTTGTCATAAATTTATTTGGCCCGACAGCCTTTTGTGGCAACTGGCAGCCCCGAGCGCTGAGGGCGTGCCCCGATGTGGGCGTTACTTAACAATATGTTTGTTGATTTTTTCATTTTTTTACCTTACAATTTCTTGTTACTCATTTGAATCTGTGCATGCGCAACGGCAACTGCAATGAATATGAATGAGTTAATTAGTGCTATGAATGATTGATTCACAACTGTCGGGCAAACAGATAGATTCGAGCCACTTTGGGTACTCAGAGAGCTCAGGACATGTGAAATATGAAACTGAAATGTTTTAGGTTTTGGGGCTAAAGTGTGACTCAGTGTTTGTCTGAATAAAAGGTGCCACAGTTCAACATTTAGGCTTTTGAAGTGGTCTTTGTTTCGTTTGGGTTTTAGTTTAATGTCAAATTTGTTAACAATTCTATTCAACTTTGAACTTTCTGTGCACACAGTTCAGTTGTCGACGAGTTCTCAGAGTTGTAAATGCCCTGAACAAATTTACATTACACTTAAGTGAAGCGTTTAATTAATGACAATAATTACACAGCCAATAAACGACACTTGCTTGTCACTAAAGCAACAACTGCCATGCGATTTTGAGCTGAGGCTGAGCTCAGAGGGCCATAAGGCGAGTATTTTTGCAGGCCTGTCACAGGAAAGGGCTCAACGTTTAAATTGTAAATAAAAAAAAAAAGAAGAATAAAGATGAATATAATTGTTAATAAATGCACACACAACAGTTGAGCACGAGCTAAGTTGAGTGAACGACCAAAAGATGCGCTTTACACACAAAATACATATGCATTTTTATAAAATGTAAATGCATATGCATAAAGCAGCTGTTATGCCCGGTTGGCTGTTCAGCTTTACAGGCATTACAGGGTATTAAAGCCGTCAGAAATGGTGCGCATGTTGCGCTCACTGCGTATGCGTAATATGCAGGAGTGTGTGTGTGTATGTGCGTGTGTGTGTGGGAGTATAAAGTAAAAAACAGACTCAAAATATTTGCATTGCGTGCGGATAGTGCCTGTCGCAACAAGGGCTCCAGCGGCAGCAACAACAGCACAAATAATCGAATTGGATTTTTTAATTAAATTTGATGTCATAAACGCGACGCGTAATTAAATGTAAAACATTTTTTATTCTTTTGTTGCAAACGTAACGTAATTTCACAACGGGTTTCGTATATGTATCCATAGTAATATCGTGTATAATAATAATATTGCAGTACTTACGTTCTCATGCTTGAAAAAGCAAAGCATTTTCAGTTCACGAAAAACGCGCTTGGATGAGACCAAAGATTGAAACACATTTGGCAGCTTTTTCAGTGCGACGCGGCGTCCATCGCGCGGATCTGTGACGGCCCTGTAAGAGAGAGAAGCAAAAGAGAAGTTAGAGATAAGTTGCTTAATAAAAGGGAGCACAGTTAACACATTTGAGTCTAGACAAAATTCGGGAATTTAAACAAGTCGGAAGAGTATAAATATTAATAGATAAGTTACACGGTAACAGTAGATAGAGAAGCAGAGGTAAGTTTAATGTAAGGGAGTACTAATATAATAATAATAAAAAAAAAATATGTAACATGGTTAAAAGTAGACAAAAATGTTGGTAAAGATAAGTTCCATGTTAAAAGAGAGAAGCTGAATTATATTAGAATCCAGAAGAGCCGGAGGAACATTCATGGATAAGTTGCGTGGTAAAAAATATACAGAGAGACTGCTAAAGATAAGTTCCATGGTAAAAGAGAGAAGTTTATGTATTCTAAAATGATGCAAATTTGAAGCAATAATGGATAGGTTACACTATAAAAAGTAGATAAAGAAACTGTTAGGTTACATGGTAAAAAATAGGCGGAGAAGCTGCTAGAGACAAGTTCCATGGTAAAAGAGAGAGGTTCCAGAAGTTAAACAATTCAGAAGAGCAAAAGAGCATTTATAAGATATTTAGATAAGAGATATGTGGTAAAAAGTAGTAGATAAACGGCTGGAGATAAGTTCCAAGTTAAAAGGGAAATGCTGAAGAAATTCAACAACAATAAGTGAAACTTTGATAGATAAGTGTCATGGTGAGACAGAGAATTCAAATATTAATTTTGTATAGAGTTAGCAGCCGTTTAACAATTAGAAAGAGTAGAAGCTTTCATGGATAAGTTGCAGAGTAAAAGCAAAATATTTAAATACAAGAAAACTTAGCGATAAGTTTTTAGGTAAATAGCAGAGTGAGAAAGAGGGAGAGAGAGAGCTTACATTAACAGCACACACTTCAGGCAGAGTTGCGAAAAGAATGGGAACTAAAGTTTGCATTAATATCGTCGAAACAATAGACTCTCACAAAAAGCTGCGAGGCACTCGAGAGACACAGAAACAAACAAACAAACAAGCAGGCAAACGGAGAAAGCACACAAAACAACAAATGTCGATTGTTTTTTGTCTCGCAAAAGTGGTTCATTGAACTTGGCTAAAAGCGAACGACTGGCAAGAGGCCTACAGCGCCTAGAAGTATGCAAGCACTCGGCTACACGTACGCTTCTCCCTTCCGAATTGATAAACGTTGCAAATTAGCAGCGCAAAAAGGTCAAACAACAGACGAGACGCAGCTCATGCTACACTTTGGCTGTGATGCCATGCCCGCCCTTCCCACACTGCCACGCCCACTAATTTGCGGCAAGTGCGTGTGGTGCTGAGCTGCAAGCAACGGCAACGTGGTTGTCGCCGCTGCGGCGTCAACTCGAGACAACAACAATGCGATGCGCAGCTTTTAGCTAGAGTTTTATGATGCCATTGGCCATGGCCAAAAAGTGCGAATGTCTGAGCCAGAAAGGGCGACGACGTCTTTGTCGCCGTCGTCTGTCTGACTCACTCTGCAGTTGCGAACATCTATTTAGTTCGCGCTACCCGCTCACACTGCGAAATTGCAGCCGAAAAATATTTTTGTTTATGGTTTTAAGCTTTGGAGAAAATATAAGAACGGTTTTCTTCTGTTCTACGAATACTAAATACCCTTGTAGACATAAGACAGACACGATTTTGCAGACATGTTCTAGATATCTAGAGAATAAATATAATTTTTCATAAAAAATGTATCTCGAACGAATCTTCTTACAGGGCGATATAGTGTTCCGATGTTAATATGAGTTTGATGAAAATATCTTGGAAAACAGAATCGATTGATTCTCCTGATGTGCTATATAATAATATAGTGCGATATTGATAAGATGTGGCTCATATAGAAGCAGCATAGCTTGTACAACAAAAGACGAATTTGGTCAATATACTTGATAAACTAAAAATGCTTCCATACAAACTACTTTTCGACCGATCTTGCTTATGGCATCTATATGATATAGTGTTCCGATTCGACATAGCAAAATATTCGTGCAACAAAAATCAGAATCTCTTCAAGACATCATTATTATAGCTTAAAAACTGAGGGATAACAGACATGACTTATCGATAGATCAAGAATATATATACCTTACGCATCCTTCTTCCAGGTGTTACACACTTCATCACAAAACTAGAATACTCTGCCTATAAGGGCATAAAAAAATATTACGCAGCATCTTATTTTTACCAGACTTGTCAAGTGTTTCTCCAAGCCTTCCGTCCCAGACTTCTCCTGCTCCCCCCGTATGTCTTTATCTACATCTATGAAAAGTTGCCTGCCGTAAATCTTTGGAGTCGTCGTTAAGCGTTGAAATTATGGCAAATTGCTGTAAATTGGATTGAATTTCTCGGCGTGCAGATGACTCAGCATTTGCCGCCAGCTCCCCGCGCGGTTTTCTACTTTTTTTATTTTTTTGTAGTCTACAATCGGGCGCTCGTCCCGGCCATTTGCATGTCTAATGGCAAACGGGCCCAACTGGCGGCCTCTTAATGATAATGAGCTGATTATACAAATCGAAACATTGTGTTCCATATACAGGGTATTATGCTAAAATAGCCGCTGGCAAAGTTCTCCTTTGCAAAGTAGACGCGAATGAAGTGTTTTACGGTTTATTAAGCATATCGCTTAAGAGCTCAAGTGCTTAAAGAGTTAAATGAAGGAGTAAACGAGTCCTTAGATGCTGCTTTTTCAAGATCGAATTTGGTTCAAGGCAATTAAATAACTATACAAATATATAAATATACATTGATTCCAAAATAAGAGACGGAATTCTATTTTAAATGAATGCAAATCAATCTTAGTTCAAAATTGCTCTGTGGAAAATGCGAGTCAAGGATTTTTTTGGGTGAAGTTTTAAGTTTAGAACGATTTGCTTCACACTTAAGAACTCAATGAATGCTGCCCCGATTTTGGAAATTCAATTAAAAACTGTGAAAATATTACAGGTCTAAATTGAAGAAGTTAAATCCCAAATTTAGAGCATAAAACTTGCCATGGCTAATTCCGGAAAATGCCCGCTAGTATTTAAATTCTTAAGATTAAGATTCTTGATTTATTAAAAATCCAATTTATCTCTTTCTCTTCTTCAATAGAGTCTCTGCCCGATAATGGCCATCAGCGACCGCTGAGAATCAAAAAAAAAAAAAAAAAAAAACTCTTTGTTTTCCTCATCAATTTGGTCTTCTTTTCGCTCAAAAACTGCGTCATTTAGTTGGTTACTCTACAAAAAAAGAAGAGAGAGACCTTGACGTCAAAGTCAAATCAAAAGGAAAATTCAAACATCTATTTTCTGGCAGACACACACACACACACATTAATATTTGATGGTCATCTATCAAATTGAAGAAAAAAATCAAATATCGCTCGCCCGCTGTCTGCAGCTTCGTTCGGGTCTGTTTGTCTTTTATTATTATTTCTATTATTATTATAGCATGTCGAAGCATCAAGTTACCGAAGAAAAACCAACACACACAAGCGGAAAATTCAACTTTAAGAGAGCAGCATCCGAGCTCTATCTTAACTTTTTTACTACGCATTTCACAGTTCTCGAAGTGGGTTAAACAAATTTTCCTTTTTTTTTCTCTTTTTTTTTTTTAAGATGAAAAACCACACACAAGAAAAATTGAAGAAAAATCGTTGAAAAACTAAGACAAATAATTCTGATGTAGACAGTTGATAAAATGTTGGTATTTAGGAGGGGAATCAGGGGCTAGGGGTAAAGGAATGGAGCACAGAGAATGCCGCCGCCTTCGTTGATGATGGATGACAAACGCAAGCACACACACACACACCACATGGGCACACACACATGCAGTCACACACACACGCACAGCATGTGCTCTCGAGTCGTAGTTTCTATGTCTCTGGCTTTGTCCTGCTGTTTCCCTGCGCTACGCCCTTTGGATTTTTTCTCGTTCTCAATGGCAGTTAATGGAAAATCATTTATCATGTGCCGGCACTTGAGGCAGCAGCTTAAAGAAAAAACAGATTCTTAAGAGCCCAGTGAAACAAAAAGTGCCATAACTAAATGATAATTACCCAGACAGCAGACAGCAGCCAGCACAAAAGCTGAAATCCTACACTAAAAGATGATTGTCTGCGTTGTTGTAGCTGGTTGGAGGCCCTTTTTGGTTGGAACTGTTGTAGGGCTCATCAATTTGTGCTGGACAATTTGTGCACGCAATGTGAAAACTGTAGCAAATCGTGGCTAGTCTTTTGATTGATTCCACAAAATTAAACCAGAGTCTTACAGCTGAGCGTGTCTGACAGTTAGATACCCTGTGTATTATTCTATATGAATTGCTATATGCATGCTATTCGAGTGGTATGATAGTTTTGAACATTTAGTTAGATAAGTCTTGGAGACAGTTGGAGAGAGCATCTGGTGAGGGTACCAAAACCTAGATACCCAATTGGGTTATTCATATCCTAATAGTTCCTGAGATCTGTTAAGGCTATGCAAATCTTACGAGTAGGTAGATCTTATGTTGTATGAATCATATATTCCTTAACATATTTCTTTGTATCTTTTTCTTATTCTTATATATCAAATCAAATATTTCAACACATAACTTTGCAGTTCTCCAATGCCTTGTATTCATATATATCTTGACATATCTTTGCAGTTTTATATTTCCTTGTATTCATCCTATTTCATATTACGTATTTCTCAAAATATCTTTGCAGTTTTACAGCGCTGCTACTCTATCTACCCCTCTATTCATTGAAACAGGGTACAAAAAATAATCTTGACGCGTTTGCTGCACAATTGGAAATTACTTTTTGGTCTTAATGCCGGACATGCGCGCAGGCTTTTTATTCAGTTGCAGCGCGAACATTTCGTGCTCAAGTGTCGACTGTTGCATGCAGCAGCACGGCTAGCCGGTTCAAGTGGGCGTGGCACCGGCTACGGCTCAAATCTAATCAGACAGCAATGTCCGCTTGGTACACGTGATAAGCAAAAGCCAGCTGCCAAA